TTACTAAGAACCCTCCTCTGCCCCTTCTGCCAACATGCACACCCCTGTCTTCTGCCTGCTCCCTCACCTGAGTGCAGTGGGCTGGGGTGGCCTACTAGAGCCTACTCTATCTAGCGTGCTATAGTGATGGCACTTCGTACTTTGGAAACTTGAGGGAGAAATAGGAGCTCCGTTTCTTCCTTCCCCGCCCCCTGGTGGTCTTCTTTCCCTTTGTTTTATGCCCACAAAAAGAAATTTCCTGTCTAAACTCCTGCTGCCTGCCTGGGGAGCAAAGCTGGGGCTTTGGGCTGCCGGAATCCCTTGGTCTCTAAGCTGGCTGGCTCCTGGTTGTGTGTTCCAGTGGGTCTGCCCATCCAGCCTAGCAGGTGCCTCTGGCAAGACCAGGGCCTGAGGGTGAGTCCTGGAACCTGTTTGCCATCTGACAGAACCCAAAGTACATCCTTGTCCCTTCTGCCAGGTGCTCCCTTCCAGAAGAAATGCTCAGCGTGATTAGGGATCATGATGGGGCTGGGTCTGGTTAAGGGTTTTTACTGATGTCTTTTAAGAGGCTAAGGTCCTTTACAACCGCAGGCCAGCTGCTGAATAAGGCAGACTGCCTTTTATGAGAAAATCCTGCTTCTGTTTTTATCCTGGCTTTGCCTCTGGGAACTATTATGAGGCAGTACTGCAGCACCTGCTGGACTGGAAAATGGGACGTTTGTGTGGGGTCTGGGGTAAAGTCAGCCACTTTTCGATAGCTGCCCACTGCTCTCACCTGTCAGGGTTCTTGCAGGTGGTACCTTTCCCTGCAGGGTCATTTACTTAGCTCCATTCAGCTTTTGCTAAGAGGGTAATGACCACAGTCTTATGCTCAGGGAGTAGTGGCCCTCTGTGTGTTTGAGCGGGGAGGTCCCTAGGGTAGCAGGGACTTTGCTTCATTCACAGCTATGTCCCCAACACCTAGCACTGGGCCTAGTATGCAGTTAGATCAATAAACACTTGTGGAATGCATGACTGTGCTGGCTGCTTGTGTCCACCCGATGGGAAAGCTGGAGACCCTCACGTGAGGCCAGGTTACTGGGGTGCTCTGCCTGCTAGGCTGGCTCGCTCTGACACAGGACACCTCCTGTGTCCTCTCCATCCTGTCCCCTCCTCCCATTTGACCTTACTCTCCTGATGTCCTGAATGTGGGATTCAAGCCTCAGCCCTTTACTGAACTTTGGCCCCTGGAGGCAGGGCAGTCAGCAGTGGGAGGTCAAGCCCCCAGCTGTGATTCTGAGCAGCTTAACCAGGCTTGGAAGGCCCAATCCGCCCTCATCAGCTGGAAGCGCCTGGGGCTGTTTCCCTGGTGCTTGGACTCACTGTACCGTGTGCTCTAAAGCCCCGCCTGCCCTTGAGGCTCCCCGCCCCTCTTCTGATCCCCTTTGTGGGAGAGAAATTTGACCGAGCCGGGCCTGGACTACATCTCCCAGCGTGCCTGACGGAGTGGTGGCCTCTCTGCGTCGGCTGCACTGATCACGGGCAACAATGCAGCGGGCAGTGAGCATGGTGGCCCATCTGGGCTTGCGTGGGCAGCCTCTCCCCTCGGTCTCAGGCCGTCTGCTCAGTGGCTCACAGGTGGGATAGAGGGTGCTGGGGCTTGATGCCAATCTTGGAGGGTGGGGGAAGGAGGGAACTGGGGGCTGGGGCCCTGGTGGCACTGAGCCTGGCCGCCCGCAGGACGTGCTCCGCAGGACACCACTCTATGACTTCCACCTGGCCCATGGCGGGAAGATGGTAGCATTTGCGGGCTGGAGTCTGCCAGTGCAGTACCGGGACAGCCACATTGACTCACACCTACACACACGCCAGCTCTGCTCCCTCTTCGACGTGTCCCACATGCTACAGGTGAGCCAGGGGAGCACGCTGACCTCCAGACCAGGGCTTCCTCCCCATCAACAGAGGGGAACCCTCTGCTTTGTTTGCTGGGAGCTGGCTTCTAAGGGCCCTCCTCAGAAGAGTTGGAAGTTTCAGGGGTGTCAGACTATGGCCCCCAGAAAATTAACTCAGAGGCTCACCTGAGCAGCCCCTCTCTAATCTCTCCAGCCTGCTCCCACTTAGTGGCATTTCTTAATGTCCTAGATTTTCCAGGGCTGGCACCCATTTTCATTGACTGCCCTAGGTATTGGTTTGGGAAGGGGTATTTCATGAAGGTGCTGGACCCTTTCAAATTCCCAAGCTTCCCGCCACTGCACCTTCTCCTGTATTGGCAGATGTTGGAGAATCAGAAAGTGTAGACTTTGCCACTTGCAGAACCAAAAGACTGGTCAGGCACTTTGGCTGGGTTGGACTGTGCTGTGGATGGCAGGAAAGGTACCTCCATGCCCGATGGCCTTCCAGATTGGTGCTGTTGCAGCGTCCTGAGGCTTTTGATCTCTTTCCTAGACCAAGATATATGGTCGTGACCGGGTGAAGCTGATGGAGAGTCTAGTGGTTGGAGATATTGCAGAGCTAAGGCCAAACCAGGTGGGCCCCTCTTCTCTTCTTTTTGCTCAATGGGTGTTCTTAGTCACGAGCCAGCAAACAGCTGAGTCCTTGCTTTGGGCTTAGGGGCACAGTGATGGATTAGATACAGCTTCACAGAGCTTGCATTCTTGGGGCACTGAATCCCTGAGTCGTGTCTAAACACCCAACCATCTGTAAGGAGGGACTTATCCCGTGCTCTCTATATCAGGCCGAGAGGCCAGAAACCCACGTTCATGTCTTGTTCTGTGACCTTCTGTGCTGCCTAACCCCTTGCAATTCAAAGTGTAGTTCTTAAATCTTCATCACGTAGAAACTTGTTAGAAATACTCTCAGGACCTGCTCTAGACCTGCTGAATTAGAACCTGCATTTTAACAAGATCCTAAGGTGATTCATGTGACTTCTTAATCTCAGACTCTTTGTCCATCCAGTGGGGATGCTGAGGCCAGCCTCCCAGTATTTTGGGGCATTGCTGCTGTGGAGCACATAAGATTATCAATATGGAATTTTGAAGCTTCTCTCCTAGGGTTTGGAGTGTGAGCTGAGTTGTCCCAGGTTTGGGTGGGATGAAGCAGCAAGTCCTTGGTATTGTGGATTAAGTGTGAGGTGGGGCTTGGTACTGAGTAGGGAGTAGTGCAAACATCTCAGTACATGAGGATCAAAAACCCTGGGCTTGAGGAGGTGCCAGGACTGACCCAGCCTTGCACCTTGCACCTTTCCAGCCCTGTGCATGAGAGTTCATGAGTTTGTGGTGGCTGAGTGGGTCCAGCACTATGTCTAACTCACACTTGATCTTGGCCTCCTGAACCTGGAGGCAAAGATGCTCCATTTTGGTGCTAGGGGACTCTGTCGCTGTTTACCAACGAAGCTGGAGGCATCTTAGATGACTTGATTGTGACCAACACCTCTGAGGGGCACCTGTATGTGGTGTCCAACGCTAGCTGCTGGGACAAAGACTTGGTCCTCATGCAGGTACAGCCCCTCTTGTCTTCTAGGTACAGCCTTTTCTTATTCACAGAGCAGCCTGCTTGTCATCCAGGACAGTGGCTCTTTGAGTGAATGAATAGCAGGCCACAATGGGCCCTCCCTGGAGCATGCCAGGTTTCATGGTGGGAGTGTAGGAGGAGATGGGGAGGTGAAGCTGTCCCTGGCCCCTAAGTGAGCATCTTCTGGTAAGGGTGGAGGGCTGAAGCTTGGCATTAGAGCTGGCCGACCTAAGCTTGGGTCATCCCTACCACTTAGTAGTTACACGACCTTGTAAGATGGGAACCAGCCTACTCTACCAATTTTTGCAGCACCTGGCCCATGGCAGGTACTCAAGAAAAAGTTCCAGAAGCTGATGTGCTGTTTCTGTCTTTCCTTTCAGGACAAGGTCCGGGAGCTTCAAAACATGGGCAGTGATGTGGGCCTGGAGGTGATGGATAATGCCCTGCTAGCTCTACAAGGTGAGTGGCCAGGCTGGTGTTGGAGCTGACCTTTGCCTTCCTGGCTTCCTCGACTGCTTAGCACAGAGGCTGTAGCAGGAGGGGGTGTGGATGGTGAGATTCATATGCCATATTCTAAGCTGGGTGTCATGCCCTCCTTCCACCTGCCCCAAGATCCATGGGCCATGGGCAAGAGCATCTTTTCTCACCTGCAGTGGAAGACTTGCTCAGGGCCTCAAGTAAGGGCTGCAGTCCAGCTTTGAGGGGCACTGGGACCTGGACACTTGGTCACTGGCTCCTTGGGCCCAGGCCCCACTGCAGCCCAGGTGCTACAGGCCGGCGTGACAGATGACCTGAGGAAATTGCCCTTTATGACCAGTGCTGTGATGGAGGTGTTTGGCGTGTCCAGCTGCCGTGTGACCCGCTGTGGCTACACAGGAGAGGATGGTGTGGAGGTGTGTGAAGTGGGTACAGGGTAATAGTTCAGGGCATAGGACTCTGGGGCGAGCAGCCCACCTGTTCCCTGATGTCCCTGTAGATCTCAGTGCCAGCAGCGGGGGCAGTCCGCCTAGCAACAGCTCTGCTGGAAAACTCAGAGGTGAAGCTAGCAGGGCTGGCGGCCCGGGATAGCCTACGCCTGGAGGCAGGCCTCTGCCTGTATGGGAACGACATTGATGAACACACCACGCCTGTGGAAGGCAGCCTCAGCTGGACGCTGGGTGAGCTGGGCTAGCAACCCAGGGATGGGATCCTAAAGGTTGGAGTGGCCCTTAATGAGACCAGCCGGCCTGTGACTGCTCCCGATGTTGTGTAGCCTGGAGCAAGCAACTCAACCTCCCTGAGCCTCCGTTCCCTGAAGGCGCCACTGTGGCTTTGCCCGTTAGATGCTGAGGACCCTCAGCAGGCAGCATGGCCTCCAAGACCAGGGGGCAGGAGGTGGGTGGTTGACTACATGGCAGGGGAGGAATAGGGCCTGTGGGAGCCTAAGTGAAGGGGCCTTGATGCTGGGTGGGTCACCTGGGGGCCTCATAGCTAGGACCTTGTGGTCTGAGGTCCTATGGACTGTGGCTTAAGTCTCGTGTATTATGCTCCAGGGAAGCGCCGCCGAGCTGCCATGGACTTCCCTGGAGCCGCGGTCATTGTCCCCCAGCTGAAGGGCAAGGTGCAGCGGAGGCGTGTGGGGTTAACGTGTGAGGGGGCTCCTATGCGAGCACATAGCCCCATCCTGAGTACCGAGGGCACCGTGATTGGTAGGTGGATCAGGGAGGTTGGAGAGCCCTTATCCCTTCCCCAGGCGGGTGGGCTCTGGACCGGCAGGGTAGTGCTGACACATGGCCTCTGCTTGGCTAGGTACTGTAACCAGTGGCTGCCCCTCACCCTGCCTGAAGAAGAACGTGGCAATGGGTTACGTGCCTTCTGAGTACAGCCGGCCAGGTACCCAGCTGCTGGTAGAGGTGCGGCGGAAGCAGCAGATGGCTGTGGTCAGCAAGATGCCCTTTGTACCCACAAACTACTATACCCTCAAGTGAGGGTGGCTTGGGACCAGGCCCTCCCCTCCAGGAGCCTTCCTGTAGCATGGAGGGCATTCTGTAAGGGGTTGGTCAGGAAGCTGAGGCAGAACACACCGAGGGTAGGTGGTTAGGGTGCAGGTTGGTTTAAATTGTCTGGTTGAGGAGGCCCACACCATTTTTACCCCCTCATCCTATGCCACTTTAATTTCAAAACCCCATTTCTCAGTGATGGACTAGCTTACCCAATGTCTTGTTGCAGCCTACACTCCCACTGACCCGACTCTTGCCTGCTAGAGGGCTGTGACAAGCATCAATTCTGGCGTGTCCCTTCTGCTCTGCCAGGTGCTGGCTGTGCGGCAAAGGCTCGCCTTTAGGTTAAAGCCTGCCCAACCTACCTCACCAGTTTCTCACACTGCAAAGAGTTATTACCTTGGGCAGTGCTGGCCACCTCCTCCGGTTTACTCTCCATGAATGCAAACTAATGATTCCTGATGTAGATGGCTGGCCCAGTAGGGCTGCTGTGCCTGTGTGTAAACTTGGGGATGGCCAATAGGGCATGGCCTCACTCTCCCCTATTCCCAGGTTGGCCCAGCCTGCCGCCCAGTAGCAGACCATGCCAGGCTCGCCACCTGTTCTGAGCCCCAGGGCTGCAGGCGGGGCCTCCTCCTGGGCTTGCCTTACCCTGGGCTGACCTTCGGTCCTGCAGCCCGTTACTGGACTCCACTGACTCCTAAAAACATTAAACGAGCTTCCTTCCTTCTTGCCAGAGTGTCTACCTTCATTGTCTTTTGCCCATAGGGTTCCTGGGATACCAGCTCAATGCCTGCCTCTCTGGCCTCTGAGATAGACTTAGTGGATTCCCCTTGAGAGGGGCAGGTCTATAGGAACTAATGGGGATAGTGCCCATGTTGCATGCTCACCACTGCTCTCTCAGGGAGCTGGCATCCCCTCTCCAGACCACGATCCTACTGACTCCACTCTCGCCTGCTGGAGAGCTGTGAGAAGCCTCAGCTCTGGCATCTCTCCCACTGCAAGTCGTTAAATTCTGGGGTGTTCCCTCTTCAGTTTCCCCTGTGCACGCACACCCTTGTCCTGTCTGAATAACCACACAACTGATGCACTTCCATGTTTAATAAGCCACATCTTCAGTCGTGCCTGGGGTGGAATGTGAGACCCTGAATCTGTGTGGTGGTGTCACTGGGTAGGCCTGGGGCTGCAAAACTATCATCCTGCCAACCAGAAGGTATCTCTGGAGTAAGTACCTATGCAAGAGCTCAGTGTAGCCCTACTTCCAGTGTACCTCTGCCACAAAGACGATCTAGGCCAAGGCTGCCAGATGGAAATGTGACGTCTAACAGAGGGAGGCAGGCAGGAAGACGGGGACACTGGTGACCCATAGAAGTAGGCAGGAGTATGGCTATCCGGGAAGGAGGCAGGTTTAGGGCCACACTGCTTTCAGGAACTGGCATTTACCACCTACACCTCTGGAAGGTCCCCTGGCCCACTGTGGAAGTGACAGGCCTGCCAAACCTGTAGCTCTTCTCTCTTCAGGGTTCTTGGAGGCTGAGATGGTGCTGGTAGGGAGGAACTGAGCCTGTGGGCTCTTAGGATGAAGCTCCTGAGGTTCCAGGTCAAGATGGGAAGTAATGAGGCTGCAGGGCAGGTGGGGGTCACTCTGTACTAACTGCTTGGTATCTCTGAGCAGGTGGGGTCCAGACCCACAACCCCAAGAGCACTTAAGTGGTTGGGACGGGTGTGGGAGGTCACCCCTGGGGCTCAGCCTCTTTCAGGCACTCAGCTTCCCTCAAAGGAGTGAAAGGAATATGACCATAATGCTCCAGAAAAAACAATTTCCATAGCCTAGCTCACACCTGCAGAGCTCTGGATGCACCAGGGAGGTGGGTGTTTGGTGTCATCATGACTGGATGGTGCCAGCTGCCCCTTATACTTGAATGGCCAGCTAAGTTATCATAGAGTATATGTCTGTGTCCAGGCCAAGATTCCCGGCTCCCTGCCAACACAGCAAAACCAAATTCAGGAAACCTAGGGTTTAGGGTAAAACAGACTTCCCTTACAAACCCCAGAGCTGGCCAGCCTCAGCCTTCCTCTCAGACAAATCTCTATGGGGTCACATCCCAGGAGGATGAGAAGAGGGACAGGAAGAAGCCAAGACAGAAAATGGACTGCTAGCCTTCCCAACCAAGAGGCTTCTCCTAAACTGACCCCTGAGAGGAGAAACGTGCCTTCTCCATAAGGTACCCAGGTGAGGGTAGAGGCAAACTCTTTACTGGCCAATGCCTGGGGCTGCTGGTGGAAAGGCCAAGGGCAGTGGAGGCCCAACCCAGCAAGCTCTGGAGTACTCCCTGCCCCGCAGCCCTGAACCCCTTGCAGTCATCCCTGGGGTCTAGGAAGCAGCAGAACCCAGTGTGGGAGCCAGCAGACCCGGTGATGTCCCTGGAGACCCCTTTGGTGCTTTCCCTTATTCTCTGTGGGTTTTGAGAAGTTCATTTGCTGCTGTTTCCCTAAAAGTGATGGAGAGAAAAGAGAGGGGGTTATTCCATGGACAGCACGATAGTCCCTGAGATTGGCTCTCTCTAGCCCTTTCACAGGGGCTGAGATGGGCTCAGTAAGGCCACACTACAATCTTAACCTCTCTCTTGAGCTCCCACAGCCCACACTGGGCCCATCACCTTTCCCCTGCAGACTTGTTCTTTCTCTTGGTTCTCCACCTTATGATGGTACTCCCATCCTTCCCTATTTGCCCAAGAAAAAAACCTGAGCAGTGGCAGGCCTCCTAACTGGCCTCTTGCTCTATTAGATCTTTTTACGCACTTGCCACAAGGAAGGCAAATAAAAAGGCAAATTAGATTAGGCCATGCTCAGTCCTGTGGCTCAGTCCTTCAATAGCTCCCAAAAGTCTAGGGCTTTGCAGGTCCCTCCAGGCCCTCATATATTTGAGTTCCAGCATCACAGCCTTGTCTCTTCTTTCAATATGTCACCCTTGTTCTTGCCTCTGGGCCTTGTTCTAGCCATTCTCTTTGCCTCATACCCTTTACCACCCCCTAGCCTTTGCCCACAGCTTAGGTGTCTCTCTTAGGAGAAATCTCCGACTGCCCTCACCTCTGCACTGCTGCCCTCCCCTTTCAAATATCTAGCTCTCCCTGTGAGCAGGGCCTAGGTTATCTTTGTTTTCTGGACCTAGTGCGGCCTCTGCCATGTGGTTAAGAGCTCAGAGAACAGCTGAATGAATGCCCTCATCAATGAGTACATATTACAGCTAAGCAGGCTGACCCTGGTGAGGTCAGTCAGTGCACTGAGGGCAGACAAGAGACTCCTGCCTTTCCAAATGAGGGGCTTGCAGTGAAGTAGAATCCAAGGGAATTGCCATTTCATCTCTGAATTTGTGACAATAACACTGTCTACTCCACAGGTTGATGAACAGCGTCCTGATAAACTGTTCAGCCATCATTGTCACTGAAAGACTGAGCTCTACTTGCAGCCCTTAGAGCTTACTGCAAAGGCCATTAAGCTGATGGACTCCTACCCTGAAACACCCTTCCCCCATCCCCAGGGCAGGAGTATCCTCTGCCTGCCAAAAACGGGGTTGAGATGGGAACAGATTTACTCACCACGAAGGGAAATGCGTGGAGCCATCAGGTGTGGATCCGTTCTGGCCGCCCAGACCTGGGGGCAGGAACACATCCAGAGCTGCAGCAGGCTGGCTTGGGGAACTGAGCGGGCATCAGCCCAGGTCAGATTAGGGAACTAGTGGTATTTGGAGAGTCAGGTGGAAAACCTAAGGGACTAGTCGTATCGTCTGGTGAAGGTTCAAAGTAAGAGTTATAATGTGATGGGTTGACTGGTGGGGTTTCCGATGTGAAATGATATGTTGGCATGGGTCATAGTACAACGTTAACTTGCGATAAGGTTCTTAGGGGACCAGTAGTAGTCTAGGGGGGTTCTGGGGAGCCAAATGGTACAGTCCGGTGGGGATGGGGGCGGCCGGTCCACGGAAGTTGGTGTGGAGCCTCACCTGGGCGGTGATACAGCCCGGTCACCGTGCTCCCGTAGAACCCCCACGCCAGCTGGATGCCCAGGAGACTTAACACCAACCACAGCAGCAGCAGCTTGAAGATAGTCACGCGCATGTCCTGCGCCTCCCACTCACGCAGGAACTCGCTGCCCAGGGAGCCCAGCACGCCAAGCACTGTGGCCGGCAGAGCCTGCAAGGACTGCACAGTCCAAGAATCCGCCATGACTGGCTCGCGCCCCACCCGGTCTGTCACCGTAGATCCCACTGCGCAAGCGCCTGGTCTTCCGGTCCTAAGGCCGTTAGTGCGCAGGCGTGAACCCAGGCAAGGCAGCCTACCTCGCCTGCGCGAAGAGTTGGCAGTTTGGGCGGAGTAGTAAAACCACGCATGCGCACCTGGCCCCACCCTGCTTATTTAGAGGATGAGTGACTAGAGGAGCACAAAATAGCAACCAGGTCTTTTATAGCCCCGGAGTTCCCGTGATGCCTCACGCGGCCGCAATTATTGGTTAAGCGCCTTGCTTTTAGGGCGTGGACGCGCTCCTGAGCAATCGTGGATGAGCTGTGAGTGTGCGCGCGTGCGCGGGGCCGCGACCGGGGCCAGCTCGAGCCCGCTGGGCATAC